ACGTTATTAAAGGTCGTTTTCCACACACGCCACATATCATTCGGATTATTATACGCCCTTATGACGTCCCAATTCTGTGAAAAAATATCACTTCGAAAACTTTCAGAGTTAAAATTTTTAAATTTTCGATAATTTACTGTAGAATGGCCTTTATTATGTAGACCGGTTGAAAGCTTACGGAATGCATAAATTAAGCTGTGATCACTAATACCGACATGAGAAACACCGGAGCAAACAATTTTATCTGGTGTATTGGTGAATATATGATCAATCATAGTTGAGGAAGTTTCAGTAATTCGAGTCGGTTCACTTATCAATTGATGTAAACCATAGAGCTCAGTGATGCCTATTAATGATCTCGAATTACTCTCTAAATCAGGCAACCCGAGATCACAATTTAGGTCACCCAATAAATAGTACTCGACATTTTCAGCATCAAGCATGTCAATAAATGTCTCAAAATAATTAAATTTATCAACATTCGAATTTGGTGGCCTGTACCATGTTGCAACAAGAAATGGCTTAGAATTTGGTTTTTGAATTTGAATACATAGATTTTCTAAATTATCAATAGACATGTCTTTACGCTGTATGAAATTTACGCTGGAGCGTACATAAAAACAAACACCTCCATACGTTTTTCCATCTGCACTTCTAAATGCCCTGTCACAACGTATGATTTCGTATCCAGGTATATATACATCGTTATCGCTTATTGTAGAATTAAGCCATGTCTCATTTATTGTTAGGACATCGATCGGGCTAGTTAGCAAGCAAAACTCGCAGCTCATCAATATGATTTACTAGGCTTCTCACATTAAGTGCCACGAGCTTAAACCCGTGCGAGTTAGGAATAACAGACTGAGTAGGATAAAGTCAATCTGAAATAATTTTTGCAAAACCTAGTAAGTTTTGTTGTAAAGCTAAACTACCTTGTCTATTTAAATGAAGACCCCTCATATTTCAGTGACTTGCATTCATATTTGAATTACTTAAAAAGGGGATTCTATTGCGACTACAATAGCCTTTAAGAATATTATTAGTTTGAATAGCTTTAGCAGCTAGGTCATTATTGTCATTTCTTACCAGAATAGCTGAAATGCCAACGGCTGTACCTGGTGAATCTTCTTTTATTTGTGTTACAATGTTGACAATGGAGTCTGCTATTATTTTCGGCGTAGAAGGACTTCTCAGGTCATTTGTTCCTCCATATCTGAGACTGTTGCTCCAGGGAACGACTTTACAATAATATGGTGATTAGGATCGTCAGCACTCATTTTCGGACCAATAGTATTTTTAACAATTGAGTCCCCTGTAATAACAACTGTTTTCTTGCCTTGCCCTGTTGATTTAGAACTAGAGGTGTTCACAATACCACCAGAAGTATCTACATCTGCAGTTTGTTGGCTGGAATTTTGTGTTGGAGGTTTGGACTTAGATTTCTTTCCCTTCTTTTTACGATTTTTCCCAGTACTAGCTTTCGGTGTTAAGATGCTTATCGTTTGCGGGCTGATTAGATGAAGGTTTTGGTTGAGTGACTTCACTTCCCTCTATTGTTTCGCAAACCAATTCCACATTATTCTCGCCGTCATTTTCCACAATTGTTTTCATGCACGTTTGTTGGTGGTCATTTTGTATTAATTTAAGAGCTGTCAACAGGCTGCTCTTTTCGCTTTCCAGATTCTTGTTTGCCATTTTCAAATCAGATATAATATGAGACATATCCATGTTTTGTTCCCTGAGTTCGTCGTTCTTTCTAATTAGCACAAGCTTATCTTCCTTTAGATCATTGACTACGTTTTCTAAAACCAAAATAGAGTAGGGTTTGTTCTCTTTAATGTTGTTTATCTCGACGCTGAGATTTTGAATTTGTTTGTCACGTTTTCAGAAAATCTGTCAAGTTTCGAATTCAGTCAACTAATCTCAGCGGAGTCGCGATTACAGCTGGCACTACTTCCCAAGGGATTATGCCTATTTGTTGATTTTGTTTGCAGATTGCCAGACTTTGTCACCATATATAGACCGATGGACTCTTCATGCAAATTTTTTGACATCGTGTTCGATTCATCATGCTTTGTACTGGTTTCGGAATCTATACTGGCTTGTTTTTCCTCTTGGTTTTTCAATTCTTTTGCAATATCACATTGATCACTGAACGATTCTTCAAAAGTATCATCTGTGACATCGTCAGAATTGTCAGCTAGCAAACTTTCAATCGACCGTTCTAGATCAAGTTCAGCAGGATTAGCGATTTCTGAAGCATTGTCCGGGTCTTGCTTTAAAAATGAATGTATTCGTTCCATCAAGTCACTGCCCTTCTCACCGTCGAAATAAATATTCTGCCTTTTTGTTAGCCAAGTAACTGATAACAACTTGCTGTCAAATAGCCATTTACCGCCACTGGGCGAGCGCCATGTAGTTGTTTCGGCAGTTTCTTCGTCAATCTCTGTGAGGACAAACGCTTTCAGAGCTTCGAGCGATCCAGTCCAAATCAGTTTGCTCCTTTTAATATTAAAATAACTGTACAAGATGTTCGAAACGGTTGAGGAGGCCCCCATCATATTCATGTTTCAAGGTCTATCCGAGTCTATCGCGGAAATAATATCCCTAGATTTTTTGAAGCGTATCTTGTTTTACCATTTTGTAAAGCGTTTCTATTTTTAGTGCTGGCATGTTGGTGAATTGCATGTTCATGATTTTGCTGAATGTTACCATAGCATTATGGCCTCGACCAATTTCTTTTAATGCCAGGACTGCACTCGTACGAACTTCATTATTATGATGGCCTTGTTTTTGTGAAGTATGAAAGCAGTATTTCCATTTACACTCCATGCTATCACATTGCAGGACAATGTAATGGGAGAAGCTATTTTTCTTTTTTATGTCAACATGCGAGGTTGCCTGGATGTTGAAATACTCTAGAATAAATGTAAAGCATGTTAGAAATGGTAAATGAAAACAAATGACCCAAAGTATCAAGAGTCGGGAAAGCTAATCACCACTGTAAGATCAACCATGTTGTAGGTGCCAATAGTATAGAAACAGCTGGTGCAGTACAGCTGATTTTCGAGAGATCTTATGTATCACGGGGCCTTGAGTACGTAGAAAGACATGCTTGGTGAGGTGACTCATCTACTTATAATAGTATTATTGAGAACGTACAAGCCCTCTGGAAATAATTGAACCCAAATAAATTGGAATGCATTAGGAATGTTCAAAAGGGAGTCGGAAGTGACGGCAAAGCATTATGAGGCAAAGTAAGGCTACTTATGGGAAAGTTAATGTATTGCTGAACTATTATGGCCTTGCAGTGCGAGAGAACTTGGATGCTGTAAATAAAATGGCCACAGCTTTAATTAAACAAAATTATCTATGTTTCCTCGACTGATTCGAATCCACAACATCATCTTTGTTCTGGGGGCGATGACGGTTGATGTGGATACAAGTGGGAGAAAGAATCCTATCAGGACAAGTATGGCATCCTTAAGTGCATTATTGAGGAAATTGAATCTATATTTGATGACTTAAGGTGGCTCCCTACAGTTAGTACAGTTTAAATACGATTTATATAGATCAGACTTCATCCTCGCGACCTGCGCGTGGAATCGTCGTGTTTACTGTTCGGCAAAAATATTGAAACAAGCCGCGGGAAGTTTTTTGGCGTTTTATCTACAAAGAAAGCTCCAGTTTTTCATTATAATCCTAATTTTTTTGTGAATTCGAACAGTACGTATGTTATTAACTAGTTTAGCCAATCTTTTAGTGTGTTTTTACGTATTTACGTTCAGTATTGTCTTTCATATTGCTCAAAATTTTCAACTTGTTGTGTTGCGAACTGTCAAACTGAAATGATACTGTCTTCAATACTCTTGAACAGTAGTGAACTGTCGCCGAAACTTATGTAAGTTCTGTCAATTAATCAATTTAATTCATAGGTATCGTTTTATCTGCTAAATCAAATAAAACAGTTATGAGTTGTTTTATATGAAAAGTTAAACTTGTAGTTCGATGTTTTGAAAAGTTTTCACACCGATTTTAACAACAAAAACAAATGTAAACTAACACTGGATTTAATACAATGCGTATAATAGTGTTTTTTATTAGTATTTTCAAGATTAATATTTTATTTTCATGTCAAACAAGTCAGAAATATCTGTTTTCGTATGTATTGTAAGCCAAAAAGTTGAAATCACTATAAATCACACGCTACAATTTACACGCATGCGCAGATCGTGCTCATGTCGAGTCGATTTTTTTTCATGCTGGCCACGCCGATTTTAGCGATGATTTTCTCGTGTTTTCTTCGGTGAAATATTTTTAAACTTTGTATTTTTGTTATACAAGACGAGTGGTACAACATATCCAAATTTTAAGAAATTCTACAAATAACTTTTTCTGTAACCGTCATTCACGAATATCTCGAAAACTTATTTGTAAATTCCCTTCAAATTTTGATATGTTTTTCCTTTATGGGCCATAAATCTTTAAAAACAATTTCAGAAAAATTCACCGAAGGAAAATATAGATATTGTCAATTTATTGTGAAATTAGACAATAAAAGTGCAAAAGATTAAACATCATGGTTGCCATGGCAACACGAACACTGTTTTAATTTGTTCATAAATGGACAGCACACAGCTTCTGAACTTTCCTGGAAATGATCATATTGCCTTGTCTTAAGTGTATCTAATATAAATTCGGTTCAAAGCGAACGTTACTCAAAATACCCAGAATTTTAGAGAACTGTAGGGAGCCACCTTAAGTAACTTTGATCTGCTACAAAAGTGCACTCATGGCTTGACCGAAAATGTGAAAAACCTGATCAGGCAAAGTTCAACTCCCGATGTTTTAGATAGATAGATAGATAGATAGATCGACAGTTTATGATGATTTTACATAGCAGCCTACAAAAGCAGAATTGCGTAAAATTTACAAAAATAATAATTATGTACATCTCACATACATACATACAAACATACACACAAGCACATATCAATAAATATGTCCTGTAAACGTTGGAAAAGTATTGTAGAGCGAAATTCAGATCCGACCTCCACCACCACCACCGCTACAGAAAAGGACTAGGAACTAATCAGAACCATTAGGACTACTAAATTAACTAATCACATGCATAGCAAGTCAGCGTGAGGCAGCGGAAGTGGTAGGGGAAGTCAAATCTGAACCCCACTGCATGGTATCGTTTATAAACTACTCTTTTGACATTGACAGAGTATAAGAATTACTAAAACGATTTGTTTGTTTAGCAGGACAGTCAAAACGACGCAGTTTTCTTAGATTATATGCTGATGTCTTTCAGGGCGGCAGAAGATGGTACAGCTTGTGATTAGCATCAGACACAACTGTTTGGAAAAGTTTCTTACAAAGTTTCTGGCGCCTGTCTTTCAAAGTACTGATATCGTGTACAATAAGATTGTCCGTATAGGATAGTCCTGGAGATATAATCGATAGCGCACGCTTTTGAATGTGTTCAAGATCGTCACAGAAATATCCTGGGTGAGCATGATGAAACACGGGAGCACAATACTCAAGTACGGGTCTGATGCAAGTGTTGTAGAAGCTGATGATATCACGAGCAGGGACGTCAGCGCGCTTGAGCAAAACCAGGAAATACAAGCGTTTATTTGCCTTCTTTATAACATTATTTATATGGTCAACCCATTGTAGGGAGTTGGATATGGTAACACCTAATACTTTGCCACTGCTCACTAGTTCGAGTTCTTTGCAGTTCACGGTGATGGTATCGAACTGATGCTTCACTTTCTTGAAATTAATGACCATTTCCTTGCACTTGTCAGCATTCAGCTGAAGCTTGTTGATGTTAGACCATTTTTCAACTTCAGTTACGGCGTTCTGAATATTGGTTTGACCATTCCGTGGGACGACCTCAGCTTAGATGGTGTCATCCACATATTTCCAAGAGTACGCATCAGGTGGGTTGAGGTCGTTTATCATTAATAGGAACAGCCAGGGGCCCAGTTTCGTACCTTCTGGAACACCAGATGGAACTGCACCCCATTCCGAGAAACAATCGTTGGAACCTGTTCAACAAGAAGTCACACACCCAGCCAGCTACACCACGCGGCATTCGAAGAGAAAGGATCTTGCCAACTAGACCAAGATTTTCTGTATCTAGTAATACGATCCTCACTGCTGCACCTGTTCCATCAGTGGCAGAAGCCCACGTGTGGATCATGGAAATAAGTGCCAGTGTAGTAGATGATTTCGGTACGGCACCAAATTGATTACGATCGATGATCTCAAGATATGATATATACTAAGAGATGTTTTGGAAACATCTCTTAGTATATATTAATTAAAAAGTGCCCTTTCACGAAAATCTGCCCCCCTTGCCTTCACATCGTCCCGGCGTCCCTGTCCACAAGGAAAACGAGTAAATGATCGAGAAGACTGTTTTGAGGTTTAATATACAGTATTTTTGTTAATTTGGTGACTGCACATTTGAGTTTTAAGAACTGCTCAAGTGGGTTTAGAACTGCACATTTTGTGTAGAACTGCACGTTAAAACAAACCCTGGCTGTAATGAAAGCCGACAAAGGGAATTGTCTAGTTGTGATGAACCGAGATGACTACAACCATAAGATGGAAAACCTACTTAAAGACGAAGCAACATACATTGTCATCGATAAACCACCATTCAAAAAAGTCGAACGAGAACTGAATGCCATCTTACTTACCCTAAATAAGCAAGTAAAACTAACCGATGTAACGTACAAAAAGCTGCATTCAACCGACGGCATACCTCCAGCCATAAGAGGATCCATTAAACACCACAAAGACTGTCACCCTCTTCGACCCATAGTGACATGCAGAAACTCCGCATTATATAACACTTCCAAATTCTTATCTGATATCTTTCTCCTCTCCAAAATCACAACGGGTTTTCTGTCACAAACTCTACTCAATTTAGAAACGATATTTTAAACTCAAACATTTCTGATGACGAGGCTATGGTTTCCTTTGATGTTGTCTTACTTTTTACAGCTATTCCTGTTGACAAGGCTTGCGCATACATTAAGACGAAGTTAGTTAACGACCATACACTAACGCGCAGAACAAAACTAGACATTAATGACATAATTCGAGTTTTAGAATTTGTTTTATCTAATAGTTTTTTCATTTACAACGACACCACGTACAAACATATACACGGATGTGCTATGGGTAGTCCAGTTAGTGCAATTGTTGCTAACCTATGTATGGAAGTAATTGAAGAACAACCCATCCAACAGGCAACAACACCACCTAGGGTTTGGAAAAGATTCGTTGACGATAATTTTGCCATCATGAAAAAATCTACTATTAGTAGTTTTCACGACACTAGTCTATTGACTCTCACATCAATTTTACAATTGAGCACGAAAAAGACGGACAACTTGCATTTCTTGACACCCTAGTTTCTCGCAACAACGGCTCAATTTCAACCACGGTTTACCGTAAACCTACACACACTGACCGCTACTTAGATTTTTCATCACGCCATGACGAAAAACATAAGAATAGTGCATCCAAAACTCTAATTAATAGGTCTTTACATTTACCAAGCAACACATCATGCAAAATCCAGGAATTAAATCACGTTTGTGAAGCTCTCACACTCAATGGCTATCCCAAAAACTTGGTTACGAGAATCACTCAACAACAAAGAAATGCACCAACTCCATCTCCTGAAGAATTAGTCAAAACGTTTTTTGAATCGGTTGAAGGAAAAACACAACCCACCGGATACACAGTTTTGCCCTACATCAAAGGCCTCACGGAACCTCTTACAAAGTTACTACAAAAGCACGGCGTAGAAGTTTCCAACAAGCCAATGAAAACCCTCCAGCAAGAATTTCCATCCCCAAAACACCGACCTTCATCCGAAAATCGGACAAACGTGGTTTATCGTATACGGTGCCAAAGTTGTCCATGGAGCTATATAGGAGAAACCGGAAGGTCGCTGAAGACAAGAAAATCGGAACACGTAAGAAATGTAAAGAATCACAAGACTGGATCTAATGTAGCAAAATATGCATGAGGTACTTGGTTGTACCTCAAACACACTTCCTGTATCATCAGGTGTCCCGCAGGGCTCTATTCTTGGACCAGCGCTATTTTTCCTGTATGTCAACGATCTTCGTGATTCAGTAAAGACCAGCGAAGTAGCCATGTTTGCAGACGACACAAAGTTATTTTCATCTGTCAAATGTCAGGACGATGCTATGTTACTTCAAAGTGATCTTAGAAACTTAGAACACTGGTCATCTGTATCTGGTTTGACCTTCAATGAAAAGAAATGCAAGCTGCAACGAATAAGGAGAAAGTCTTTTTTTGTCAGAACGTGTCGAATATGGAACTCTCTCGTAGATGAACTAAATTATGACACGAACTGCTTCAGTTCCTTTAGATCAGCCTTACTGGAATACTATCACAAATCTTTGGAAGTTAATTATAATCCTGATAATTATCGAACATTTAAAACTATATGCCTGAAATGTAACTCTGTACGAAGTCTTACATATCCGATATCCTGCTGCTTTTAGTAACTAATATTGTTTGTTCGTAGGTTTGTTAGTCTGTCCAGTTGAATGTCTGTTGTTTGTTTGATTGTATCCAATTGGGCCCGCAGTAATTGGCAATAAGCTGTTGCGGTGTCCAGGCCACTCTGTGTAATTTTACGCCGGCAAAGTTAATAAATAAACAAATAAAAAAATAAACATGCATGGACCTATGACCACAGGATTGACTTTGAAAACGCGGAAGTTATCGATAAGGGAAATTTTAGGACCAGGAAAGCTCTAGAGTCATGGCATACAGCCTTAACAACTGATGCTGACAACAATTCATGTCCACTTCCCGGACAATATAGGGCCTACTATTCTTATAAAAAAGCAGTCATAGTTGACAATACACACTCATATTTCATACGCAATTATGCTAATCTTTCTGTATATACAATAATTTTAATCAATTTATTTCTCTCACACTGGGTGGAAAGTGTTTGTTTGTATATATATATACCTTTAATAACGAAACTCAACGTATAAATATATGTTTTCCCAATAACTCTCAGATTCGCGCACACTTCTATCGCACACATTGCCTCCCGTCATGCAATTCGCGTTATATAATCTATACCTTTCTATCTAATCATGTTCATAAATATCCTTGACCATGACTTATGACTTACGATGGTCAACATAACAGTTTCATAACTAAGGTAATTAAATGTTAACAACGTTAATGTCTACAAACTTCCTGATTCAATGAGTTCCTGTCTTTTCGCTTGTGCCTTTCTTACTGCCTCCCGTATTGGTCTCCTTCTCAATTCCCTCTTCTGATCGTCTTTCTCTAAAGGGTTCTCGGTGTTATCTCCTACCGTTACAATTTATTCATCGCCTTCCGACAACTCAACCGGGTATAATTTCTGAATTGGCCGTCTAATTTCCGTACATTTTCCTCCTTTGTTTGTTAATTTCCTAACTACCGCTCCGCGAATAGCACCGTCCTTTACTTCTATCAGTTCTTCGATGCTACCGAGTTTCCACTTTACTCTACGTACGTTCCTTTCTTGAATAACTACAACATCTCCAATTTTAATACAATTTCCTTTCTGTCGTGTAGTCTTCTGTCGATGAGCATTGCGTAACTCAAGCAGATCTATACTAGTTCTTCCATCTCAGCCAAAAGTGTTCCTTTAAAGTTCTAAGATACGATACTCGTCTTGCAACTTTGTTGTTGGTTATCTCTTCAATTCTCGATTCCTCTCCTGGCTTAACTTAGTCCGGCAACGAGTTTATTGTTGTTCCATTTATCAAATGTGAAGGTGTAATTGGTTCGTCTAGGTCTTCCGTAGACACATATGTTAGCGGTCTCGAGTTTATTGTTGCTTCTATCTCTGTAAGCACAGTATAAAGTTCTTCGTTGGTGACTCTGGCATTTTTAAGAATCTTGTATAAACATCACTTCACACTCTTAATTAGTCTCTTGAAGAACCCTCCCCACCATGGAGCCTTCTCAAGGTTGAATGTCCATCGAATTCTTTGATCTGAAAGGTATTTCTTCACTTTTGAAATCTTGAATAGGGCTGCCAATTGTTTTGAAGCTGCTTTAAATGTTCTCCATTGTCTGATTTCACCTCTTGTGGTATTCCTTGGCGGGCTGTGAATCTCCTAAAACTTCCTATAAAGGCTTCTGCCGTCATATCACTCACAACATCCAAAGGTACTGCTCGCGACACAGCTCAAGTGTATATAACCATGTAAACCTTCTGCATAGCCACTGCGTTCATTTGTTTCACATACAGTGGTCCAGCGAAGTCCACCCCTGTGTACGTGAAAGGGTGATCTTTCGTGATTCTAAATACTGGTAATGCTGGTGGATCTGTTGGTTTGTAAGCAATTCCTTCCTGTCGTCGACATACTGCACATTCATGTATCAGTTTTCGCACGTATTGACGACCTCTAACAATCCAGAATTTCGATCTAATCTCTGTTAAGGTTTCTTTTACACCATTGTGTTTTACTCTTTCGTGACTATCTGTCACTATTAGTGACGTTACAGAATGTTCCGCATCCAAGATTGCTGGGTGTTTCTCCGTCGTAGTTAATTCTGCATTCTTGAGTCTGCCTTCACATCTCGAAATACCTCTTTCGTTACGGTACAGTCCGAATTCTCGCTCCAATTTTCTTGTCTTGGCCTTCGACGTCAGTTGAAATTGAACATCTTTTAACCAAAGTTCCTCCGCTTGTAGCATGTAACATGTAGCATGTAGCATGTAGCATGTAGTCTGTTAATGGCTTTGCTTTAACGGTCGGATCTCTCTTCGATTTCAACATCTGGATAAATTTCAATACTATCGCTGTAGTTCTCTGTAGTTTGTTTAAGCTACTAAATCTCTTACAATCGATAATTTCACCAATATGTCCTACTTCACAGGTCGTGTTAAAGGATGACGTTTCTCAAGGTTTCTTTGACTTCTTTAATTTCACTTCCTTGATCAATTCCTCTGGAGGTTCACTCTCATTCATACTTGTTTGTTCACTCGGATCGGCGTAGATCTTCAGCCATTCTGGTCCGCTAAACCACATACTGTTTGATAGTTCTACTGGGGATGTTCCTCGCGACGGAATGTCACCCGGCTTATCCTTGCTAGCACAGTGATTCCACAGTTCTGGTGGAACAAGACTTCTTATTTCTGGGACTCTATTTTATACAAACTGTTTCCACTCACGAGTTTCGCCACATATCCAGTAGGGAGCAACTTCCGAATCCGACCAACAACGTATGGATGAAATATCGATATATCTTTTCAATGCTTCCTTTACATGCGTTATTAATCTTGCCAATATTAGTGCTGAAAGCTAGCAGTTCAAGTCTCGGTATAGATTGGTTCGTCAAAAGTTCAAGTCTTGGTATAGATTACTTCGCGCTCTAGTTCTTGAAGCTACGATGTTCAATTGGACGCCATCTCTTGTTTCTAGCCTTAAATACACAACCGCCGTATACGCCTTCATTGATGAATCACAGAATCCTTCCAAACTAGCGGTGATATCTTCAGATATAACTCCGTTGAAATAACCCCGTGGTATTTGAATTGGCGTCGCTTCTCTTAATTCCTGTTGTAACAATTTCCAAGTATTGGATGACTCTTCATCTAACGGTTCATCCCATCCAATGTCTTTCTTAAATAAGCTCTGACAAAACAGTTTCAATTTTACAGTCAGTGGCGTAATAATTCCCATAGGATCATAAATTTTCGACGTCACTCGAACAACATCTTTCTTTGTTGGGTGTTGTTTGGGCTCCTCGTCAAGAAATTGCTTGCAGTCGAAAACAAAACAATCTTCTTCTGTGCACCACTGTACTCCGAGTAGTTTCTCTGTCGTCGGTTGCGAACTTTGCGGTCCGGTCATAGTTTTGGCAAAGGATTCGTCTTCTTCTTTACAGGATGTGTCGTTCTCGAATTTCCTTCTCTTCTTGTTTGCAGTATTCCGATGCTTTCATTTTCCTTTATTCTTTCCGTCAGGGCTTTCGAATTGGACACAAACGTTCTGGCGTTGAATACCCCTTCAGCTAGTCTCTTCTTCAGCTTGATGTACAATCGATAGGCTTCATCTTCTTCTTCGTCACCTGTTGCGATATCATCCACGTATAATGACTGTAACAATCTTTCTACAAACTCTGGGTCTTTCCTTTGGTATGCTGAGATATGGTACTTTAAGGTTGCATTCAACAAAAACGGACTCGAAGATAATCCGAAGGTGACTCGAGTAAATCTCAGTTCGATCACGTTTAGAGTTTCTTTCAAGGGATCATCAACCCATAAGAATCTAAGTACGTTGCGATCTTCTTCAGCCACTGAGATCACGAGGAATGCCTTTTCGATGTCTCCCGCCAGCGCAATCTTGTGTACTCGGAATCTCATCAGAATATCTGCTATTTTCTCAGTTAATGGTGGGCCGGTATACAAGCATTGATTTAAGGATGGACCACCCCTCTCCTTCGACGATGCATCGTAGACCTCTCTAACCTTTGTAGTCTCTCTGTCCTTGCGCACTACCGGGGGATGTGGAAGGTAATGCACTTCGCCAATTACATCACTTTATTTGCTTGGAACCTGCTCAACAATACCTTTCTCTAACTGCTCTTTGATCACAGAGTCATATTCTCTCAGGATTTCGGGCTCTTTCTTAAGTCGGGTTAACAATGAACTTAATCTCTTCTCGCTAGTTTGATAATTACCATGCAGTATCGGGTGTGACTCTCTCCATGGTAAACTAACTTCGTACTTCTGTCCGTCAAAGGAAATTCGTTGGTTGAATGTATCATAGACTGAGCTCTCATTAGGTGTAATTCCAAGTGATTCTAACTCCCAGAACTGTTGCAGTGTTTTGTCTAATGTCCCAACGTTATGTTTTTCTGGGTTTACTGCAACTTCACATTTCAGGAAATGCGTAGTAGCAACAATGGTGGATGAGTTAGACTGAACTGGCATCTCTTTTATTGGACCTGATAAGACCCATCCTAGCTTTGTATGAATAGCAGCTGGTCCAGATTCACCTCTGGCAACTCCCCCCGTCACTAGGTTCCAATATTGGTCAGCTCCCACTAGGACATCCATCGGGGCGTGTCCCTCGCAATCATCAGCCAACTGTAAATTTGACAGATGTGGGTAACTCTTCACTGCATGCTTCAATGGTACAATGATAGCTGATAATTTCACATCGTCATCTCCGTCCACACTAATACACAAGTCCACTATGTCACATACCTGAGTGGTTCCACCACTTGATCCAAATGGCTTGATTGTCAACGATTCTGAATGTGAGGTTACTAAATTCATTTCATTTCTAACTCTTTCTGTGACATAGGTTCGCTGACTCCCTCCATCAAGGATGATTCTAGCCTTTTGTTTACGATGTAGTTTATCCGGTCGATAAATTGTCGCTTTAGCTGTCTGGAGTAAAACTGCGTTCTTTGTGTTGACACACATTGTCGATGACTCTTCAGGTACTGTGTTGTCTTTGTTCCTTTGGTCTTGCTTTGTGCTTTTTCTGCTTTATTCTGTTTCCGTTTTCTACAGTTTGTGACTCAACACTCCTCATTTCTTGTCTGCGAGTTTCTTTGCCTTGAGAACAAATGATGGTATGATGTCGTCCTTGATTGACAGGTACGGTTTTGCTTATATGGTTCTTCATGGTACAAATATAACAACGGCCACTACGTTTAAGGATCTCCTTCCGTTTCGTAACATTCGTGACTACTGTACAGTTAATCGATAAATGTAGTTGAGCACAGATATGCAGGTATGTTCTCCATTTCCTCCAACCACAAATGCTGATGTTGTTGTAGGATCTTTTGGGCCAAAATATTTACCACGATTAAATCTTTTATGTTCCTCCTGAGTGTTCTTATTTGCCGCTACTATTTCACATCGTTCTCTGTTTGCTAGTTCCTCATTAAGTTGTTTTAAAACTGATTTAAAGTTCCGTGACTTTTCCGATACTTTACTGCATATATCCAATCTAATTTCCTTTGGAATTTTGTTTAACAACAAAGGTAGAAATAGTTCACCTTATTGTTCTGCTTTGCACCCCAGGGACTCCAGTGCCCTCATATGGGCTTCAATGTCATCGCTCAATTGTCTCATAGCCTTAAGATCTTTCCCATTTAAAACTGCTGGTAAGTTTATCAATAAAACCATGTGAGTACTAATAATTTTCTGAGAATCTCCGTATCTTTCCTTTAATAATTTAACTGCACCAGAATATTTTGATCCTGCCAGGGGAAACCCCTTATTGGCGGATGCCGCTGACCCACTTAACGACGCTCTCACATACGAAAACTTGTCGATTTCACTCAAATCTTCATTCGAGTCAATAACCGACTCAAAATTGTCCCAAAAGGATTGCCATTCAGTGTAATTTCCATTAAATGTAGACAATTGTAGCTTAGGAAGTTTAGCTCTTACCTTGCTACCGATTGAAATGCTGGATGTGTTGTAATTTCCCTCTTCTAGAGGCGGTGAACTTTCAGGTTGACTTGCGTTCTCGACATTTTTCCCTTCGTTTTCCTTTGATATTTTCGCTTCCTCGAGAGCTATTAAAGCCAGATTTATCGTGTCCGTAAACTCCGACGTCTCTTCTATTTCGGCTTCGATTTCCTCGTCTTTAATTCCCGTTAAAATGGACTTGTCAAGGTCGTTAACCATGACGTCTCTCTTTCGCTCTAGCGATGCTTATATAATGCTTATATTTTTGCCGATGTTCAACTTTTCGTTCGTCAAATATCGTCAATAATTCGTTGGTTTCACTTATTATTCGCCGTACATGTGTTTTGTGGGCTGTTCTTGATCTCTTGTCTCTCTCCAAGTTTTCTCCCATTGTAAATAGTTGAAATTCACCAAAATATCATATATATATAAACTGTATTCGGTTGCCAGAACAGAAACTGGACATCTCGCTGTGAATTTCAACTCTATTTTCGCTCGTAATGTTATTAAGGTTTCGACTTTCCAATCCATCTCTAAAGCTAGGGCCATTTAATCTATTTATTTCTCTCACACTGGGTGGAAAGTGTTTGTTTGTATATATACCTTTAATAACGAAACTCAGCGTATAAATATATGTTTTCTCAATAACTCTCAAATTCGCGCACACTTCTATCGCACATGTTCTCTCGCGTCATGCAATTCGCGTTATATAATCTATACCGTTCTATCTAATCATGCTCATAAATATCCTACAATAATAGACTATAGTTTCATATTTCATACACTCATACCCGTTGAAGGCTACAGATTGGTAGCCGAAAGCTTGTAATAGATATATCTTTTTGGTCAGAGAGCGTCTATTTTATTATTATATTTTTGGGTAGTGTTTTGAGTTTGAAAATTGTCTTCACTCGGTTTTTCGCAAAAAAATAAATAACTCTTTTGGACCACGGTCAAGATATCGTAAAAAGATGACCGCTGCTGCAGCCAATCAGATTGCAGGAAATCAAAAAATATCACTAGGCATGCACAAATAAAAAAATAAAAACTTTTATTTCTTTATTTTTAAATTGAATAGGCTTTACCGAAAACAAGACAAACAAAACTTACATAGTTGAGTTACATTTTCAAGCTGTTAACGTTGTATAATGTGATATAACAAAGCCAGGAAAACTTTGTCAGTGCCGTGGACGGTTCGCTATAAACGTAAATTAAAACTACAATTGTTTCGAACATTTTTATATAAAGTAACTAGAAAATACATGCATGCAGAAATCCTCGCCTCGCTGACAAAACCATTGCATTTTCCGGACATGAAGTATCTAAGGGACTGGTCATAAAGTAACTGCTAGGGTGGGCTGGAAGTAAATCACAAATTTTGCCAATAAGTTTGGTGACCCATCTTAGGCTGTAAATATAAATTTCAAAGCCCATCCAATTTTACCAAATTTATTTCAGGACCCACCCACCCTATCTAAATTAGGAAAAAGACTTTTATAATGAAAAAAACTTGCAGGTATGAACATATATCAATACAGTGCCGGTGTATATCTTTATTTTTGTATTTCGAAGCAGAATCGATTACTATTTAACGTTACCATAGCCATTCAGCGACGAGCTTACATAATTAAGCCAATCAGCGATTAGCTTACATCAATTGTTTACATTGTTCTCGCACCTAACCTGCGAACAGGCGTAGGTTGGCCTTGTGTAAGTCATTTTATTCTTTGCCATATTTTGGCTTCAGAAATATCTTAATTTTGTCTTGAATTGACTGTGTTGTTTTCACCATTCTACTTGTGATATTATTCCGAAGTTATCTATCAACATGGAAACTTATCCTCATCTGGTAAGTAGTCAAATACCACATATTTTATTATATACATTTATACAGTCTAAAAACAATCATTGTGCAGGCATTATATTTTCAATTAACAATATCACAAGAAACTAATGTTCTAAGGAGATATTGAATTAAATCCTGGTCCTGTATTTCTGTAACTCTGTTCAAAACAACAGTCCAACTAACTTGTCACCAAATGTACTAGAGTTAGGGCAAAGGGAAAGATGTCATCAGTTAAAATTATTCTTTATATACATTTTGGTTTTGCACATTAGAGTTAATTAAACAAAATTGTTACAACCATTTTCAAATGCTAATAAAAGAATCCCCACCCTCCCTCCTCATTACTTTGTCATTTTGCTTTCTAATATAAATGTTTTTGTTTAGAGATTAATACAAGAATGATGAATACATGTACTGATGTACTGGATATTGGCTGGATAATATTTTCAGAACAACCCACTTGCAAGAAAATCTCACCTAAATTAATTAGTATGGAAAATAACTTAACAGCTACAATAATCATATATTATATGGATGGATCAGAGCAATGGCACACAACGTACAAAATTAAACTTGTGATACTTTCTACTCAAACAGATATTCTCCCACAACACAAATTGGTTTTGTGTGGATATGCTGAGTTAAACCGAAGAGTGTGGTATATCATTAACTGTGCACAGGATTGGAATTGAATTATATACTTCACTCATGACCTTCAAAACATCTACTATTCTGTGGTCGATTGTGGAAAGGTGGATTAGCGCTAACCCAGGGTTAAAATTTAACCCGCTGTTTTAGTTTGCATATTTTTACATGCCCATTTATTTCAAAATGTCAGAAAAGAAAACTCCTATGATCCAGACATGATTTGTGAAGAAATATTTCCAAATTTAGAAACAAGCTGTTTGGAAGTGTGCTTTGAATTTTAAGTTAACCTAGGATTAAGCTAATCGACTTTTGAACAACCGGCCCCAGTGGTCTTCAATATATGATTGACTCTTTTCCTCGATTAGCTTGTGTATTTTACTCAACAATTAACATTGACAAATGTAAGCGACAAGTGACAGAACTTTTGCTTCATATGATTACAATAAAGTTTTGAAAATTCGATGAGTATGGATTGACAAGTGACAATTTAATAAATAGCCGGCTGTACAGACACTTCGAATATTGTTTGCATGAAATTTTTATTTCCTGACAGCATAATTATCCGTTACAAGCACAATCACATTATAAAATTAGTTAAATTTTCTCGGCGGGGGGAGGGGGCAGTTTCCCCTGCTGCCCTCTGTGCAGTGTACAGCCATGCCCTGTTAGATTTGTATTATGTTTAATTTGTATTATGTTGTATTTAATTGCTATTATATTTATCATAATAAGTGATGAAAGTAGATATGGGTTTTTGTTTGGTGGCCCAACCGTGGATATACAAAATAATTGGCGGCCCATAGAAACTGCCCCTAGATTTTCCATGGTCCATCCCAAAACACTCCGGCCCACCCTAGCAGTTACTTTATGACCGGCCCCTAAAGTAGTTGTCATGGTAACACGATATTTTTTTAAGAATATTCTTACAAATGAAAAATTGCCTAAAAATATCACTCTTAATTACAAAATTATCAATTTCCCAACATTTACATGTTAGGTATGTTATATTATACGTAATATAAGTTTCAATTTAAGGTAAAATTCAACCACAAACGCTTCGCAAAACGTTTTAAAGTGTTCTTTATAAAACTAAACTGCCTTTAATTAAATGGCTTTATCGATAAACTTCGAGTGTGCAATAAAATTATTTCAAATTCTCGCATGCAAATAACTTTGCTTTCTTTTTTATTTAAAAAAGTCAATATAATAAAAAAGGGAATCAATAATAAAGATACACTGAAATTATATGCTGTCTTCTTTAGTTGTTTCATATACGTAACGGCCGTCGGGTATAAAGCAATTATAAAATCAATATTTAAAACAAACATACCTTCGTTAACGTTGCTCCTTCTTTTAGCCGATTCTTTCGCCCTTCTTTCTGAGAAGCTTTTGAAATTTACAAAATCTTGCAAAGATGCGAGCAAAAATGAAATATATTTGCATGAAATTTATCAATCATCAAATCAAGAAATGTTTGCAATTTCGCTGTCGTCATGCAGTCGTTATAATGCAAACTTTAAATTGGACCAATCCGTGTCCGCTATTAATGAAAGTCCGCCATATTTTCGAGATCAGTGAGGATGACCACCCATCGTTGGTGAGCCACGCCCGCCCTCATTAATGAAATTTAGACTTCGCTAATGCTTTCGTTTCCCCGGGTGTAAATAGCCGGGGGAATTAGTACCCTCGCACGGCGCTTCGCGCCGTGGGCTCGGGGATAATAAGGACCTTCAGCAAACAGGCGGCAAGGCGACGACGAAGGCTATTCACACCATGATATTCCTGATCTCGTACAAAAGAAATGAATAACTAGAAATACATGCATGCAGCAACCCCTCGCCTATATTTTCCAAACATTGACTTACATGAAGTACTGCATTATTAATTGATCAACACTGAACGCAGGCTCTTGTTTACGTCAGTGTTGTCATGGCGACACGACAATCTTAAATTTTATATTTTTTTGAACAAGTCGCCAAAAATAGTTGAAAGATTATTGCTTTTAATTATATAACAATTAATTTCCGAATTATGTACTGTAGGTATATGTTATTTTGCATTTTTTGAGCTTTGATTTAATGTAAAATTTAAACTGAATCGGTTCGTAAAATGTTTTGAAATGTTCAATTTAATAACTAAACTGCTGTTGTCGTCTTTGCCGATGAACTGTTTTTAATACTTAATAAGTTCAAGTTGTGGAGTAATTTCAGTTAGGTCTTCAAATTAATTTGTTCTTCTTTACATTTTACCTTTTTTCTTGAATTAAACAGGGTAATTTAAGGTAGGAAACTTACAGCTTGACTGAAAGGGAAAGCTGCATGTAGTTTTAATACGCAAGAAATTATTAAAAGCAACAAAATTCATAAACATTAAACATTCAAAGCAAACTTGCACTATATTTCACGATTCCCATATAGTAAATCAATTCTTCTCATTTCTTCAAACAAAAATTGCTTGAAAGCTCATTGTGTGAAACGTGACTTTCCAAATATATGCTTCTGAAAATTGAAATCTTGCTTATCCCACTCCTAGCAAACAGCCATGATTTTTGAGATCAATGAGGAGGTCCACCCACGAACATAGATATAGGAGACCTGGATTGCTGACTCTAATGTTTTCTATAACGCACGAGCGTGACACTCATGAGCATTCAAAATGGCGGCTCAACCGGGCAAAAATCATAGAGCGAGATAGGGAAAAACCATGTTTTTCGCATTTTCCGTCG